GCGTGTAACATCTTTGGTGCAGATGCCAGAGAATCAGTAAAACGCCTGCAAATGCTGTTCAAGGGGAAAGAGCAGTCATCTTTTGACTTATCAGGCGGTTTGTTGTGTGTACAAGCTCGTCAAAATACGGCACAAGCGGTAAAAATACTCAGTGATACTACACAAAAAAACCTTTACTAAGAGATTAAATACAAAAAATACAAACAACCAGTGAAAATACTCAGCGATACTACACAACCAAACGTCTAATAAGAGATTTATCATCCAACACGGTTGTGCCGTTTTCTGTCGTATTTATTAGGGACCTTAAGCAGTCAGGACGGCAACGCCAAGGAAGACTTCGATTAAAAAATGAATTTCTACTCTTAGTTAGAATTTCAAAAATGGCTGCATGAGCTTACTACTCATACGGCGTCACAGCTCAACTTCAGCATGACGTATGGAAGTAGCGTTGAGTTGAATGGAAATTAAATTAATTTGCCGTCGCGGTTTCGGTTCGCAAACGACGCAAATTTTGGCGATTTCGCGCTGTTGTTTTGCATAGGACGGGTAAGAAATGTAAAAAGTTTCAAAACGCACGTGCTGAGCTATTGTTCTGTCCTCGTTGCCGTAGCCGTCATGGTTGCTTAAGGTATTATCCACAACCCGTAAAAATACTCAGCGATACTACGCAACGAAACGTTTTCTAAGAGATTAAATACAGTATTTCTGGAATACAAATACCGCGAGATATTTGTACTCGTCTTGGGCGTTATTTGTACTCTTCGAAGCACATGCAGTTGGATAATAATCAGTCATACTACACACTAGAACGTCTTTTAAAATACATATATATATATTAAGTCGCCAGATTTTTTTTTTTTTTTTTCGATTTTACTTATTTTGCTGATAGTGGTACTCAAAGTAACAAATACACCCCACATTTCGGGCAGGGCCAGTTACAATACGACTGTATTTTTCATGTTATACTTATCTTGCTACCTGATACGTCTAAAGTAATATGGTCGTTCACCTAGTAGGTGCTAAACTCTGCCCCGTTATTGTTGGCCATGTCCATAATTTTCTCCAGTCTTACGTTGTTGACTTTTTTCTCTCGAGCCATCTCCTCCTGGCTCTGTCGCAATTTCTCTTGTAGCTCCTGAGCGCTTGAGTCGGTTAAATTCAGACATGAGTAGATCTCCCTCTTCACTTGAAGGGATTTGAATTTCTCGTGGGGTACATCACACAGCTTTTCCTGGATCGCAATTGCCGCGTTCAGCTGCTCCATGGCTCTCGCATAATCTCCCTAGAATTGGAATAAGGTGAAGAAGACGAGCCTCAGACTCTCAAACATATGGTTGCGCTGCATACAGGACCGATGAAATGTGTCAGAGCCGTGATTTCTAGTCGTGTCTTGCTATCGAAGAAACCATTGTACTCAAGTGAGAATTGTTCAGTTTCTTATCACCCAATTGCATCGTGGACTAGTCACTATTTATCGCCTGGGAGGGGTCGGAAGATTTCTTGGAGGATCGCTGAATTTTCAGGGGAAACGGAGGGAGCGTCAGCGTCGCTAACAGGATATAAAAGGGAGACTAGAAAAAACTGGCTGCTGATGAGGAGGGATCATTAGGGAACCCAAGGTGGGGGATCAGGCGAATTTTATTGCGACACAACCAAAATCCTTCGGTTCCCTCTCCCCAACGATAAACAATGACAGGTTCCTCTAAGTCGTTTGAGCATGGCACCATTTACGACACAACACATCTCGACCACTCAGGGAGAGCAAGGTGTTGAGTTCCGTGGTCAGAGTCAAGATCTCAATCTTGAATGCCGAAGATGGGATTTCTGTAGACAAGAGATTGTGGGTCTTAAAGCAGCCACATAAATAACAAACACGTACAAAAATACGTATGATGCACGATCCTCGCAGTAGATAGCGCTATTTAAGCAATAGCGAAAATCAGACCTGAAAAAAAAAAAAAATCAGGCCTGTACGGGATTCGAACCACTGACCTCTGCGATACTAGTGCAGCGCTCTACCAATTGACAAAAATGTTTAACGTACAAAAATGTTTAACTCACCTTCATCTTGAAAGCAACACCCAAATCGTGATACGTTCGGGCAGTTTCTTGGTGGTAAAAACCAAAAAACATCTTTCTGATACTGAGGGCCTCGGTGAAATATTCAACCGCCTTTTCGAAGTTCTCCAGCGCAAGGCAATCGTTGCCTAAATAGTTGTAGAGGGTTCCGGTGAATGGATGATGACCTAGTTGTTCAAGGTAGGCACCAAGGGCTTGTTCCCTGAGAGTTAGGGCATCAAGGTGGTTATTTAGGCTGCTTTGAATAACTATTGACAGGGAAAGACAAAAGAAAGTTGATGAGCCAACGGATCAAATTATGATAATGATAATCATAACAATTATAACTGGTATTAGTATATACTAAAACAGTGGATAGCGTTGAAGGCGCGCTCTGATTGGCTAGTCAAATTCCGAATATCCTTTGCTATTTACTCCGAGCAACTCGGGAAAAAGTGGCGTCCGGTTTGCATCCGTGACGAGCGAAGAAATAACTCAAATTTATTTTTGGTGGTGTATATTATCTCACCGTTTTAGTATATACCAAAACAACTTTTCACCTCAGTGTCGGTGGTTAGCGGTGGATATTTACCTCGCCGCGAATATCCACCCCTAACCACCTCCACTTCGGTGAATAGTTGTTAACTATTACTAATATTAATGATACACTTCACTTCACAACGGTAATTAACAGATCAACAGTGGTTTAGCCTGTTCTAAACTCTTGTCTACACCAATATTCGTCACCACAGTGGTCAAAATGACGTGGACTCACTCGGCTACGCCTCGCGAGTCCGCAACGATGTAATTGTCTTGTAGGCCCTAAAATGCGAAAAACTTAGAAAAAAATATTCTAAATAGACATGTGATTAAAAACACTAACAAGAAAAAGGCAGACCAGTTGACTATATACAAGGGGTAGCCAAGGAAATGAACTCGGGGCAAACGAGAACAAATCCAGTGAGTGGCAGGGTAGAGGGCTTCAACCGCATACCATCAGTAAACACTCAACTACACTGCCTCCTAAAATTGTGGATAAATGTAAGCTAAAAATCCCTCTTCAAGGCTACATTTATGATATATTTTTCCCCACGAGAAGAGATCAGGGTAATACAACACATTTAATGCCCCTCTCCGATAGAAAATTGTTGAACCATGTTTTTCTTTTTCGCTCAGTCGCGACAAATTATCTTCTCTCAGCTTCCTTTTCGCACCAAAACCTTGATGTAGCTCAGAAATGAAGTTCAAGCGATCTCTTCATGTATTCAATCTCAGTAAACTGTGTCAGCCAAACACTAGTTCGACGTTCCCCGGGATCAAAATTGAACGCAGCTACTGGCTATAGATTGTTTGACAAGTTCTTACAATTTTCATCTACATTCTTGACGAAAAATAATGAATTTTTAATCTGCAACATTGCTTAGGCTACACTACCTGCTCTGTCGTTGCAACAAGCTGCATACTTCAATGGTTCCTCGTGTCTCTTCTTTTCTCGGATTTCGAGAGCTTTGTCGCTCAGTTCTAGAGCTCTTGAAGGATTTCCATTCTTGGCCATGCAGCGTCCGATCTTGCTGTAGCACTGTGCAACAAGCTCTCCCTCTGTCAAGTTAAGCTGTTCGTAGATTTCTAGGGCTCTTGTCAAGACTCTGTAGGCTCTCTCTGTTACCACACTGCAGGACCGATGGCATTCACAGCTGTAGATTTGTTTTATGCCAACACACGTAAGACAATCAGCAACAAGTCGCAAGTCTCCTTTGGTTGCGCCAAGAACGACTCCGTAGATTTGTTCAAATTGAGCCATCTTCATGACTTTAGCCAGGAAGATGACCGCTTCGTTTAGAATCTTCGCGCAACGTGTAGGGAGCGCTGTTCCCACACTCGCTGCCGCGCACCAAATTGCTTGAACAATGTTTTCCTCCTCTGCCCAGAAAGAACAAAGCGATTTCTTCAAGTCGCCTTTGCACAAAAATCCCTGGTGCAGCTGTGTAATTAGGGTTAGATAATACTCTACAAATCTTGCTTGCGCTTGACTGTAACACGCGCCCAATCGTTTGTCTGTCTTAGCCTTTTCTTCGCAGCATAGCTGAATCACTTGATGGACGAAGTATTGGTTAGAATCCAACTCTCTGTGGACAAGAGAACTCTTCACCAGTTGAAGTAAAGCGGTTAAAAGCCTTGATTTTGAGCAGCATACTCTCTGCGCTTGTTCTAAACTAAAAGCAGCCGGGAATACAGATAAGGAAAACAGATCCTCCTCGAAATCGGCGCCAAGCTGCTGTAAGCATTCACTGAGAAGGCCCCTCATTTGCAGCTCTGGCGACAGTTCCTTCATGTTTGCCACGTCTAGGGCCCCAAAATGACTTTCCAAACTTTGAATCAGTGTCTCTGGGGTAAAGAATTCTAAATATGCAGCGGCTGCGTGCAAGATCAGGGGAACCTTAAAGCAAAGTTGTGCTATAGTCTTAGCTTGCTGGTCCTCAAGAAAACAGCCATTGTCTTGAACCCTTTCTTGAAGCAATTTTGCGGCGGCGTCGTTTTCAATAACGAGTAGTTTTACTGAGTGACGCGGGGTTTGACACGAGGCAGGACAATCCACTCTTGAGGTAATGACACATTTCACATGGCCTGCAAACTGAGCGACATGGTTCACAAAACTGTAAAACTCCTCCTTCGAGTCTTGGTCACAAATGAGATCTTCAGCGTTATCGAGGATAAGCGTTGTCCTCGTGGTTAGAGATTTTAAATGCGACAGTGCCAGCTCACGTGGGTTGTTCATCAGTCCATGACCAACATTTGCTTTTAAGGCGCGTAGAATCCTTGCGGACATTTTACCGACAGATCGGATTTGTCGTAAACAAAGAAAGATAACTTGGAAACCCTTCTCCATCATCGTATGACCGATTCTTTGCGCCAAACAGGATTTGCCATAACCTGGTAAACCGGTTATGACTACAAGTCGTTTGCCGTTGCCTTCACTGAGAACTCTGACTATCTCATTCATTGTTTCATCTCTTCCGTAGAAATGAGATGGCTTGCAAGGAAGAGCCCCCACGAAACTATTTGCATTATCAGATGATCCTTGTTCTGAAAGTAAGGTATTCAAAATATAAGTATCCCGGTTCGTCTGTATCTGGGTGGGTTATACATCATGGTCATCATGCTTGACGCCGAACAGATACTTCAAGATTTGGAAGGGTGACTTGAGCCCACAAGGAGTTCTAGATAACTCTCCCTCATTCCCAATTTGACAGTCGAAGTGTTTTTCATCGATAAAGAAAAATTAAGATGTGTGTATCGCGTTATGAAATATGTAGAAGCACACTAGAACATAATAAATAACACAATAAATAACATAATAAATAACATATTAGCCGGTACAGTTGGTGTGTAGTATCGATGAGTGTTTAATTCTTACGCGTTGTTTGTATTTTGACTAGCCACGCGATATATATAATGCGTGTCTAAGGCGGTTCTATTTCAATTTGAAGGTGTAGATTACGCAAGTATTTACACAAAAGTTAATCACGCCTGATTTCCCATTAGAAATCCATTTTATAAGGACTAAGAAGGTGATGAACTATTCGAATATCATTTATAGCTATCATTGTGGGATGTCAAACAAATACTCGGTTTTCTTAGGAATGCATGTTGATGAAACTTTCCGGACGGCCACTCAATATCAGAACTGGATATTATCATAAATTAAAAAAAAGATTTAAATGAAGTAGAAAACGACCAAGTGAATTTTTACTGTGGATAGTTATCTAATTTCGATCCGGTTGACTTTTGTAAACGATCGGATAAAATTGTGTAAAGTTAGTGAAATTTTCCGCTTAACTCGGCATCTGTGACGTCACCGTGGGAAACATGAGTAAGGAATAACCTTCAAAGCGATATATTTGATCAAAAGTGCGGAATTTAACCTTACATTAAGGACTGTGCTTGGGAATTACACGCTTGTATTTACAGTGATTACTATCATTATACTTCGAAGTGATATAAGACTCGAAATAATGATAGCGTGACTTTCCTCCTTGTTGAGCAATTGTAAAACAAAATATCACTGTAAACAGCTGAGTAATGGGGGTTATCCCTTAGGGTACAAATCCCGAGTTTCACGTGTGTAGAACTAAAATCCAAATTTTCCGACCTATTGTCAACGGATCTATAGCCCAATCCTGGTAAAATACGACGTAGAGAGGGCATGCCTGTAACATATTTTCTCAAAGATCCCCCGCAAAGTTTTGATTCATTGACTGAGTCACGTCACACACGGTTGATTTCTTCCCTTCTATAACTTCCGTTCTTGTGGTAAAATTACATCATGATTGTGCCGACCGCCGGTTTTATTTGCTTGAAACGTCAAAGATTAATTCCTAATGATCGATACTTATCAAATATAAAGCTATTTGTTTTCCTCCAACCAGGGATTGTTCAAATAACTGGCAGTTTATTTGGTCGATGATGTTGTCTCAGATCGATCGGGACTATCATTGAATCTAAATGTAACTAAACCGTTTTACTTTGGCACAGCGAAAGACTTCGCTTCATGGTAGCGTGATGTTCCTTAGCAGCAAATTCAAAGGCTGTTCTAAGGTGCGAAAGAGAATCCCTTAAAATGATACCGGTCTACAACTTTTAGCTATGTCAAAACAGAGCGAACTAAACAACAAAGCAAACAAACTTCAGTCTGGGAGGACGCTTACCTCCAGGAACTTCTGTTGCCAACGATATCCTTGATTCGTGTTGCCTCACCTCTTCGCTAAGATCGATTCGACCAGCCGACTCTAGCCAGGAAGCCAAAAAATGAAGATTGTTAGGGGATAGTAACCTAGCGTTCATCATTTGACCGAAGAGTTGAAATGGCATCTGCAAGTTTTCCAATGTTCTTTCAGGTAAGTGTGCCTTGAGGAGAAATTTCATTCTCTCGAGGTCTCCCGCCCTGAATCGATCCGATATAGAAAGGAGAAACGCGTTAAATTCGCCACCCTCCATTCTGTTTATCAAATTTCCAATACTCTGAATTGAGTTTCTCGACTCTTTACGCGAGAAACTGGTCAAATCGTACTCGTATTTGTTTACCAGCCAGGGGCTAAAAAGGACGCGAAATGAAGTTAGTCTTGGTTTCCCTGTGACGTCACGTGACCTCTAACAGATGTCCCCATCTCCCAACGTTTTCCTCTCGTTTAACCTCGTTCCCAACAACCGTGAAAACGAGGTTGCTCGTCATCTCGATCCGCATATTCGAAGTTTGCGTTACCCTGGCAACTCAAGTTGAGTTTTTTCATTCTTAGTAACGGGTTTTTAATACAGCATAATCCACTTTTCTCATGTTTGAAATTTTGTATTTTTTCAATGTCGTAGTACCCAGGGTTTTCGCCCTTTCTCAAAACGAGGTTTTAGATGGAGTCAGAACTGAGGGCTCCAGATACCGTTGAGCTTTCGGTCAAATTTATATATATATATATATATTAGATTTTAACTTGAATTCCCTTTATTGCCGTTCTATTTGTAAATGGCCTAAGCCCAAAACAAGATAAGTAGAAAACAGTCAATGTAATCAACCGGAAATTGATGTACCGGAAGTAGAATTCTCGCTGCACGAGTCTCTGCGTGACAATGATGTTTCAGTTCACATTTGACTAACACATTTTGCAATGTTCTACTCACGACCGTGGATTCGCGTAACGTATCTGATTGGTTAGCGAAAGAATCATAAATTTTACAGAACAGAACATCAAGCCCAGTCTTTTTCGAAGACCATTTGGAAAGAAAGTCGAGATGCGTGAAGGGAAGATCGAAGAAATTCTCGTTTTAACAGAAGAAGAGGAGAACACGCCACTGTTTGTCTCTTCAAGGGCTAGACGCGAAGTGCAGGTAAATATGGAAAAAAACTCCTGTCCAACAAAAAAATTTTGAGTAAGGAGATCCTCTGCAAGAGGATCAACTAATTTTTAGGAACAACTAATTGTTCAACTAATTTTTTGCTTCGTTCACAAGCCCGGCATCTCTTCGAGTTCAATATCGAGCGAAGAAATGTTAAGAGCGAAATAGTGATATTATTTAAGTTTGGGGGCGTTTCTGGAGGACGAGCCTCATCACGTAGGCTTGTAAGGGTGGCGAACCGTAACTTGTAAAACGAACAAAAAGCGATAAAAAGGTAAATATTGTAATTTTTTCTTGTGCTAAGTATAGCAGTATTCTTCATTTTCCAGGGTGTCGTGACAGTAATGATCAGCTGTTGTCTAGCCTCAGTCACGGGTTAACGTTTTTAAGCGAAGATCTCGCCAGTCTTTGATTTCATCAGGCGCTACCATCGACCTTACTCTCATCTTTCCTTCTGGTGGTCTTTGAACTTTTCTTATTGCGAAACTAATGACATTTTTTTTTAACAATAAAAGACTTCTTAGGAAGTTTTAGTGTTGTGACAGACAAGAAGATTATGCAAGAATAGGAAATAGCGCGTTTCAGTTTATCTATCGATCTTTGAATTCGAAGGACAAAGTTGGAATGAAACACAAATTTTTGTGGGTGCTTTGTTTTCATGGTCTTCAATGTTTAGGATCGGTAAAGATTAATCTGAACCCTTTCCACCCAATCAGGGGTATGCATCTTCCCTGTACGTTTCCCAAGAAGCTGACTAGGAGAAATTGTTTAACGATCGAAGGCTTCGTTAGCTGTTGGTCATTCGCTTTATTTTCGTGACCTCAATGTGTGATTAAGGGGTGAAGAAATTAGATGCTAGTCACTCCAAGGGATTAGAATGTTATCTTCTTTTGTCCCAAAATATATTGTTTTGCACACAAAAAGAGCTCAATTACTCCGTCGCGACGTGTATGAGGGGTCAAACAAAGTCAAGTTTATATTATTCTGGTGCTTGTCAACCCGCTTTCAATGAGACTTCCACATTCGTCGGTAGAAAGCAATGCAAACTCGCGAATAAGTTTGAAGGAGGGGCTTTTGGGGGGAAGAGAGTGGTGTTTCGCTTCGTTAGCGCTTTAATCGCGGTATTTCATTGCGAGAAAATGGCAAAACACCACCGCCACCTCAAACAACGGGGTCATGAGTTTCGTTTATGGATAGTAAGAAAGGCGAATAAGTCTGCTTTGGAGATAAAATTCGACAAAGACACCATTTCCTGTTCACCTTCAAGAGCCTTTCAGAGGTAAATCTTTATCTCAGGGACCAACCATTTAACTTTTGAGGGGGGGGGGGGTGATTTTGAAAAAAAAATTCTTGCAAGCGGTTGTTGGAAGAAAAAAATTGCATGCAGCCCAAATGTAACAGAAAAAAATGTACCGAAAAATCGGAAAAAAATATCCTGTACAGCAGATTGCTAGAAAAAAGTTTTCTTGATGACCAGAAATCACCCACCCCCCCTCCCCCTCAAAAGTTAAAAGGTCGGCCCCTTAGCAAACGTGTCACTTGTCGTTGGTGGTTCAATCCACATGAATTCTAGTCACGTTTATCACAATCCACGTTTTCCTCAATGTGACCGCAAGCGAACATCAAGGCCGAATGAAGCGCCGAGAAAATCGCGACTGGAGAAAACACGAGCCAAACCAGGGGATACGTTACGGAGACTTAGCTTTAATCAATCTCGTAAAATATCAGTCGTCCCTATACGCCGGTGGCTTGAAACCAAAACTTAAGAAGTTAACTCGGGATGAACGCCGGACGTGAACAGTGAACAGTGAAAGGGCGTACGATGCAACAACTTAAAATCAGCGGGAGAGAAAAACTATCCGAAAGAATCAAATGGCACAAAGGCCAACTGTAATTGAAATGTCACGCAAAATTCAAAGTCACGCATTTAAAGTTACGCATTTACGCTCAACTTATGCCATTATTTGTTGACTTCTGAATAACCTTCAATAACAATTGTGGTCTTTGGCAATATTTTTAAAATGAGTGGTTTGATAGCCGCGTGCTAACCTTTTCTGTCTCAAATATGTTGCGGAGCTTCTGGAGTTGTATACACATTGCGGACCTGTTTGTTTTGGTACCCTTGGGGTTCAGGTCACTTTTTGGGTCACGAACGAGAGAGAGAGAGGCATCAATTTAAAGCCCTCACGGTGATGTTTGCTCCATCGAATTCCCATCACAGGGGTAGGGTATAAAGAGATAGCCGTGTAATTAGAATAAATAACACTGGAATTGTTTTTGTTTTTTTTTTTTGACAATATCTGGTGCCACTCATTATTTATTGCCTGTAAGCTAAGTGGGGTAGGGAGGGGACGGGATGATCTCTGGTTGTGTTACGATGAAATTAACTGAATGCTCCCATAGGGCTCTGTAATTTGCTAAAGATTGTTAGGTATATTTGTAAGCCAATTTTCAATAGTCTCCTCTTAATCATTTATCGGTGACGACTGATCCCCCGACCTCGTTCCCATGGTCTCTCAACTTCCCACCCCCTGGAGCTCAAGGGGGCGCGAAGAAGAGAGACCCTGGGAACAAGGTTGCTGTTCCCCGTGAAAACTATGTGATCCTCCTAACATCCTCCGTCCCCCACCCCCATCTCCAACGGCGATAAATAATAATCACATGGATTAATGTCTTGTCCCTCAAATCTTTTTTTTTATTTTTTTCTCAGATATTTGCAGGCCGAGTGGGCATTCAATGGAAAATTCTGAGATGCTTATTTGCTTTCCTTTATCCGATTTCTCACGTGACCATTATCGTGTCTCTGATATCTTTTTTCGTCACAGCATTCAGCTTCGCTATCAACTGCGCGCTGGAAATGACATTTGAAATGATTTCTCCACAGGGAGACTCATCTGCCCACCAGAACTTATACACGTGTTGCTTGTTAATGTTTCTATGCTGTACCATGCTTTTCGTCTGTCTCGTATTCTCCTTGTTCTGGGAAATCATCAAAGTTGCGGTTGTAAAGAGCACTCTCATATTCCGAAAGGTCAAGGTGGTGGTTTTTCTCGCCATCTTTATGGGTTCAGGTATTTACGCTGGGTGTGTTAGAACTAGTTTTGGTGTCATGATGACATTGCTAAGCAGTTGCCTTGCAGTGTGTTGGTTCGCAGCTTTTATCGTAGCAGTACTTGGTTCAATTGGCTTGCTCGTGTTCTGTTACAGAGAGGAGAGCCACGAAGCGTACGCCATGGTTCTTTTACCACTTTGTATTCCGCTTGTTCTGTTTTCTATTCTTGCCCCTATTTCCTTTACTCTCGTTGATGCGTCAACTGGCGCGGTTTGTTTTGCATTTTTCTACCCATTCCTGACAGCTTGCCTTATATTATACATCTGTTTCCGAGGCTCTAGAAAACCGAACGGGGAACAATTTGTCATGAAAAGACGTTTTGCTGTATTCTTTACCGCTGCCTACCTTGCTGTGTTGATTCTAATGGTTACATCTCGCGCATATAGCGAAAACAGTTGCAATTTACCATCAGTGAATCACTTCAAGGCGATAAATTTTTCCATCAGTAAGAAATATCAGCCAAAGTATCCGATCTGCGATAAAACATGGACCCCGTTACGACTGAACGTGGCCGAAATAGCATATCTCTCGTTCGTCACCTACCAGACAAACTGGAACAGGCAGGATCTAAGTAAGTCAATTAACAGCTATTTCCTCCATCGAGAAGGTCAATGGAATGTTAGTTACATGTCAGACGGAAATCCCAGGTTTTATCACTTATTCGAGGCGACAAGGAAAGTTCATATCATCGGTATACGAGGAAGTGTGTCTGCAGGAGAATGGTTTGAATACCTCAAGTTGTGGAGTGAGGTAATTAGTTACCAGCTCACCTCTGAGGCTCTCCCGGTGCAAAGGTTCCCATTGAGTTTCGTGACGTCATACGTGTCTGCTTCGTCTTTTCTGGAAAGGATTTTGCATCACAACCGCCCAGACTATTCTCTCGAGTCAATCGAGTCGTACATCAAAAGGGAGAATCTAAAATCCAAAGGTATCGTTCTTCTTACTGGACATTCCTTTGGTGGCGGCTTAGCAAAGATTATAGGGAGCCGTCAGCAGATTCAAGCGGTGTCTTTCTCAAGCCCCGGTGAAGTGTACATCAGTAAAAAATTGGACTTCAGTCTAGAAGACTTGCAGCGTTACGCTACATCCGTAGTGTTACGAGATGATTTGGTCACGTGGGTTGACCACCACGGTGGATTGGTCCAGTATATCAGTCGTAACGCAAATCAGCATGTCTCGTGTCACGCTGTTAACATTTATTGCGAACTGAAGAGAAGTTGCGGCTTTCAAACTCCCATTCCTTGCTAAACTCAGTGAAAAAAATGGAGTCAAAAACGCGAGTTCTCTTCCAGTTATCTTGTAGCCTGTGAGCATGAGCAAGCCTCTCCTTGTACCCAGACCTTTCACGGCCGAGTGGATGTAAGTAACGTTGATACGGAGGGGTCTAGGTACAAGATTAGCTTCAGCACTCACGTTTCTTCGCCCGCAGCAAAGTATATATGCGGCTTTGAGAAACGCGAGTCAGGCCAGATGACTGCAAGGGGTCTGGTAGGGATGAGGAAAGCCCTCGTAACTAGTGCCAGACTCCCGCCAAACTTCTCCGTGGCTCGCCTCAAATCTTCTCGCGGTCGAAAAGACGTGCGTCCTGCAGCTGTGAAGAGGGGAACCGTTTCCACCTCATATTTTCAACACTTGACGGAAAATAGGGCGAAAATCTGATCCCATTTAGGGCCTGTATGGATGATTTAACCGACTAAAAAGGCGTGGAAATGAACACTTTTTTATTTCTTGGTTAAGAACACTATGTTAGCAAACGGGAACTGATATCATTTGAAAGTTTTTGAGAGGAGTTTACCGATTTTCTCTTCTAGAAAGCATCACTTACGGTTGTGGCTTAGATGTTTAGATTCACTTATCCACAGATTTCCACAAAAGTAGATTTCAGTTACTCATGATCCCAATTGGAGACATGTTAATTTTTCTTTTAAGTCACTAAGAATAACCAGATTTTTTAAAAAGAGCTATTGTCTCAGAAAGGTGCGGGAAATTAAGATTTTTCCATGTTAAACAAGTTAATTTAAGCTCCTCCCATAGGAGCTTTTAAGCCACAATGCAGACTTGAACCCTGGACCCTAACAACTCGGCTACACCGCCTCCTCTCACACCCTAGCATCCATATCCCTTTTTTTCCACCCTGTCCTTTATACATTACCTACTGTGCTGACAATGAAAATTTGTTTAACAATCAGGAGCCTTTTAAGATGGTGACCATTTTGTTTATTCTCGTGACCTTGGCGTTAGTTTCAGGGGGGGGGGGACATTGCATGAAGAAAAACTTGATGCTCGACACTCTTGGTGGTGAAAGAGTTTAAGAGGTTTCGCAAGGCATACTTTTATTAGCAAAGATCAATACGTTCCTTGTTCTAAATTGACAAATGTACTTTCCTGCTTTTCATTAAAAATAAAAAAACAGCGAGTAAGTTATTTTCAAAAACGAAAAATGGCATGAAATTTTGGAAGACTCTGAAAAGCAAGACCAGAGATGAGACATGATAAATCTGACAAAATTTAAATTGATTAGCACCTTATATATTTCAGCAGGTTATCGGCTGAAAAAGGGATTTACTGTCAAGACCAGCTGCTGAAGGGAAAGAGATGTCTTTCAAAGAAACTTTCCACCTCGTACCAAGAGTCCTGGTTCAATCGCCAGACTAGACTAGAAACTTTGATTGGTTTTTAACCTAGTTCAATCGCTGGTTTTCTAACATTTACCACAAAACTGACAGACGTCTTTTCTCTAATCAGACTTGCTCGCTTCAATTGGATTTACAAACTATTTCAAAATTTCCGCCAGAAATTGTCCAAGATTCGATCGTGATCTTAAACACTTGAAAAATTACCTAAGGATTGAGTTTGCGCAGAACTGCACATTGGCAGTCTTCACGACACTTACTTTTTTTTCTGACGCTATCGGAATTCGGATGGAGAACAAATCGCTTATAAAACATTTTATAGTAGCAGAAGAGGAACATTAACTACAGTGCATCCCTCGATATATTTGTTGTTCATAACTCAAGCATGTCTTCTTCGCTTTTTCTCGGAATTATTACAAATAATTTGATGGCTAGAGTAAATTCTACATAGAACAAAAAAGCAAAATATTCGCTTTTAAATGAGCAGATGGAGACATGTTATCTACAAATTCTTAAACGCCTGATCTACAGGGGTTTACATAAGCTTCGTTCCCAGGTTCTTCCTTCGCCTGTTTACCGAAAAATCCTGAGAAAGAGCTTGAAAAAGACCATCACTGCAGACCAGCTGCTTTGGTTCAGTCACCATTGTTGTTTTCAGCCGGCCTGCCGGTTCCACCGAGTTGAAGATTCTTCATTCGGTTGATGGCTGTTGCGGCATTAAACGCTTGCTGTGAACGAGGACAAATTACAATGGTCACAAAATTTGCCCAAGAAGGAGTTGGTCAAACAGTAATCGACTAGTAAGCGTCTATCCCAGTTTCTGGAGCGTGAAATGACAAGAAATACTGTCACCCCCCTTCCCATGGGATGTCAGTCCATCGGACGTGACCCCCCCTTCCCTTTGCAGATTATCGAGAAAAATATATCTATAATTTCTTCGCTTTCTCGCCTGCTCCATCATTCCTACACCAAACTTTAGTTGTATTTTCTTAATTATAAAGATTCCAAACCATTGCAGCCAACCTGGATCCATTCTTCTTTAAATATATAATGCATACACTGATTCAGGTTTGTTCTATCAATGGTAAGGAATGGTTTGGATTTCAACCATCAACATTACCTTCCACTTAGCCTTGTAGAAGTTTTTCTTTATTTGTTCACTAACTGACGCATGTATGTCACGATCAAGAGCCATGCCGCCGGAAATCCTACGAAATATAACGAGATATTAGTAAGTTGGCTTCGACAGCGAGCAAAATGAAAGGAATCCTGTGATCTGATTGGCTAAGGAAACAATATAAGCTCCGAATTGGCCCCGATCGATTTGATCCCGTGCAACATGACATTACATGCCGTCTCTTTATAGATTTCTTTTAAAAACCACTGTAAAACGAATAAAGCTTTCTAGTAATTCTAACTACAATTTATGGCAAAAAAATGTCCAGTTGACATGCCACAGGTTAAGCAAACAACACCACGCTTAGTTCTGTATACATATTTTCGATAGTTTGCCATATGGTAAAATCATTTACTGGCCACGCTTGTTCGACGACCGACTTACGCCCTTCAGTTGAGTTTTACAGCCAATAACATCACGGCAAAACTGGCCAATCATTTTTCACGAACCGGACTTGGAACATTCGATTGACAATAACTATTCACTTGGCACTGATGGTGACTTCCGCTCAGGCTGTCGAAACGTCAGTCACCATTACCGACAACAATCCTTCTCAGAACTACAATTACCCGGATGATCAAATATTCCAATAAACGGAATAGTTGGTGAACTGTACGTACCAAGGGTGATTTAGGGCCTGTCTGCAGGTATACCGCTTCTTGGGGTCAATTTGTAACAAATAAGTAATGAAATTCTTAGCTGAAAGTGAATTAAAACAAAATGCATTTAACTGACGTTGACTGCGAAGGTCGTGTCACTTACCAACCAATCTTATACATGTGATGCACCAACAAAAGACACGCTTGGAAAAAACTTAACTCCTTACCTGAATCTGAAATGTCATCCCTAAGAAATAAAATAATACAAGACGTCCATTAGAAGAATGATCAACTCACACTGTATAGTTCAAAAAGTAGCGACATTCCAGAAAATAAGGTGAATGTACAACCTAAACCGAAAAGATCATAATGGTGCCAGGGCCGGAAGTAATTAGAATTCAAGAAGGGGGACGACGTAACAAGCGAACGCAGTCATATTTCCGGTTATCTCTTGTCTCAACCGGAAATAAGTTGCGTCTTTGTCATGTTGGGTATGAGCTGTAATGTCTTAAGCGCTAAGGTGACGAAAAACTGGACTATACAAAATGTCAAAGAAAATGAAAGGAATTTACTAATAACTTGTGTTCATTTTTTTGTTGTTGATCTTTTTTTTTACCAATCAAAAATTAAAATGATAATAATTAAAACAAAAAGAAACCTACTGTTCCTCGGGAACGAGGTTTGATTGACGAGAATTTTACGCGTGAAGTATGCTGGGAAAAAAAGAATTCGCGCACGCGGAAGATAAGCAAAATACAATTATTTCCTGGCATGGCCATTTCCTTTGCTTTTTCGCTGTGATTCAGGTAAAAATATTCTTTTTAGCTCTTTCAATACCAAGCAGTTCTATTCCCTGAAATTTCCTGAGCTGGGAAAAGGGGTTCAGATATGCGACGCAAAAAAATTAAGCAAAACAATACACGTAAGTTAACGCACAGGGAACAGCTAGCTTATGGTCGAAATTCGAGGTTTCGGCACTCAATTTAAATTAAACAGTTTCCTTAAAAACCTCTTTTTGTCGTAAAACAAATCAATATTTATTTGTAAGTTCAAACATATTCGAAAAATCAAAACTGCAGTAGTTCAATTTTGACCTGAGCTTTTCATTTGGTTTTCCATCAGTTCTAGTTAACTCTCTAACTCCCAAGACCTAATACTAAATTCTCCCCTCTAGCTGCACCACACTTCCTTGTAAACTAGTTACGAGAATTTGATGTTAGATCAAGATAACTTCCACCTGCTAAGTCTGAGTATCAATTCTCAACCTGTTTGCTGAATAACGTATGGATTTCATAGGGAGAAGTTACATGTTAACCACTTCTGGGGAATTAAGGGTTATCACAGATTAACATGTTCTACACTGACAAAATAACACAAACTTTAATTTTTTTTTTTGTTGCTTACCAGTAAGGTGAATCAAATTCATAGTCTCCTCTCATGATTTGGCCAAAGAGATTTGCATCACTTTCATCGTAGAATGGAGGATAACCACAAAGTCTACAATTATGATGTAAGTTGAGGACTATTGTTATATTGCTTAACTTGGCTACAAATTTAAGCATGTCTTACTTTGAAATTGAAAAGGTAAAGGGTAAAATCAGCACTCCAACCTGAAACCTACACTTCAGCAGTTGATCTGAGTTTCAATCGCATGAAGTGATTAGGAGTAATAGATCCCCTCCCAGAGTGGGATGCTAATCCATTGTGCTCCCTCCCCCCTTCAGACATTGCCAGGTTCCCTGATGATTCACCAGCATACATGTGGGCAGTGGAGGGGGTAGTTACTGTAAAACAGGAACCTGTTTTCAAACCCAGACCTATCAACTTGCAGTTGATAGTGCTGAAAGAAAAGACTATTACCATAAAAATAATAATAATAATAATAATAATAATAATAATTATAATTATAATAATAATAATAATTATAATAATAATAATAATAACTAAGCCCTTATCAGCTCGAATAACACACTTACTTTATGTAGACGATATGAAAGTGTTTGCTGCCTCTGAAACTAAACTAAATCAGGTACTTCGATCAACCTGCACGGCAATGCAAGATATGGGACTTCACT